AAACTTTATCCTCTCACCCCTAGTGGGGCTCTAAGGAACCCAAGTTCGGAAATGGAAAAAATTTCCGTAATTGCGGGGGGAAAAACGGGGCGAAAAATTTCCCGGAAAATATTGTATCGTGTACCCCCCCCAAGCTACTTCGCTTCCCATGGGGCCGGCTCTTTCACTCTGGGGAAAAATATCCTTTTCCAAAAAATTTAGCGAAAAAACGCTAACCTGGGGAACCGTGCCCAAGTGCGTCGGGGCACACCCGGGAAATTGTCCAAAATCACCCCCCCCATGCAAACACCCCCCGATGACAGGGCCCAAGGGGTTTTTTTTGACCCACCTTGCCGCGCTAATATGCCAGTTCTCAGCGGGTCCTTGTCTTTAACAAATGAAAAAGCGCAACAGCAATTAGAGCGTGTCCGACACCTTATGTACCGGTTGACAAGGGAAAGCAAAAGAATCGACGAATTTGGTTTAAATTATTCTGGTGTCCCGGGGGGAAAGGGCGGTGATAGCCAAAAGGCAACATAAAAGGGTAATTTTTTCCCCAGTACATTGGCATAGCAAAAAAACAGGGGCCCTGAAGGGGGACAATGAATTCCCTCTCTTAACAATTTTTTAAGACATATTACTGAAACGGGAAATTCAGACAGCTTACTCGTCCGTCAGTGACCCCATATTGACAGTACCTTTAAAATCATCCCAGATGAGGTGGAAATTGAACGCAGCGCCTCCCCCGAAGCTCTAGAAAAGGGAAATACTACAGCTTTTCTGTGGAGAAAGCAAGGCACTGGCAGCATCAGCGGTGGCAGCAGTGCCGGGTGGCGGCAAACGGGAGCAGCAGCGGCAGCGGGGGTGCCAACGGTTTCTGCGTCAGTCCCAGCCGGTGCGATTGGAACTAAACGAGACAGTGGCATGCGTGAAAATGGACATGGCCTGATGGGAGTCGAGGTCACTTCACGCGGAAACGCAACGACAGCACGATGATGTGGATATTTTATTCCTAAATGCTGTAACTAATAAAAAAATAAAAATGTAAAGTCTTCAAACTAAAGTTTTTTTTAAGCCTTTAAAATATATATATAATGGTCCTATATTTTGTATTTGCCTCATACTGTCTCTGTCCCCAACATGGACAGAGGGGGTCCGGGGAAATATATCTCTTTTGAGCAGTTTAGAAAATATTGACATTTTTTGACAATACAGCTTCGGGCCCTTTTAAAATATAATTACTGCGACGCCTTTTAAATCCATCCTTGAACTACGAAATCCTTGCTTAATGTTTTGTTTTCCCAAAAAATTCAATGTTTAACAAGAGACGATGCCGAAAAGCGGCATTGACATTATACAAAATCACATTACTGAAACAGGAATAAGTACAGAAGCAGTAGTCCACCACTTTTCACCAAAAAAAAGATGTGTTATCGACAGATAACCCGCCATATTATTGAAGAAATTAATCGACAGCTAACAGCTGATTTAAAAAAGCCTTTAGAGATAATTTTTTCGGCCACATTTCCCGAAAGGAAAAATACTCAATTATGATCGGAATTGGGAGGGTTTTAGTTTCGACGAGATCGCGAACCTTTACGGGAAAAAACAATGCGGGCCACTTTATTTAAAGCTCAATTTAAACCGAGAATAGCTCGGTGCTTGGGCTTTGCAGTGCTGAAAAATATTATTTATTTCGTAGTGACTTTGCCCGAGGGGACCTCTCTCCCCAAGCAGATTGCCCATTCAAACCTGATCCCACTGCTGGATTTGTTTATGTTTTAATATATAGTGATATTGTGGAACTGCAAATATAAAGGCAGTCAGTTAGTCAATATTCTGGATGCTTTCGCCTTTCAGGAGAGTTATTTAAAAAGGGGCTCATCCCATGATGTACAAACCTCTATGCGTAACTAAATTAGATAAAATAGCTATCAAAATGACAGATCAGTTTGGTCGTAATCTGTCTTTTGAAAGCGGGCATTCCACTACCGTGTGTTACATGTAAGACCGATAAATAAATAGAACCAACTCAGCGTAAAAATGGTTATTGGTTTCTCTAACCCCCAAAAATGCGTGTACCCTTTCAAGTGCCCTCTGAGCAGGAATTTCGGGGGTTTATTCTCCCCAAAACCCTCCATGTGGGAGCTGGTCTGGGGGATATACAAACTTTTCACGCCCATACAGAGTCCGAGGTGGGGATTTTTTTCGGCTTTAGCGGGTCTAGCTAAAAGAGCTTTACCTTTTTCTTTTCAGAGTGGCTGCGCCAAGTGCAGTAGAATTTGGAACAAAATGCTCGATGATTATCAGTCCCGGAAAAAAAAGACATGAAAGCTGCTCTTAAATCTCACGGGATAGATGCTTTTAAAAAGGGGTTGCAAAGAAAGTTATTACAGGTGGCAGAGTAAACAGGGTGGCTTAAGCGACGGGTGAATAATAAATGCAGGTTAAAATAAACGGGCCCACGAAGGGCCCAAGTTGGTTATAAAACGGATGTATTCTCTCTCGTTTTAAAACATTGCTTATTACCCCTTGGCAGGGTCGGGGCTGAAAACAGCGGACTCAAAGTCCCGTTAAATGATTATTCTTCAAGCGTCATTAATCAATTCCCGCGACCGCATAGACGAGACAAGTTGAGAGTTCCATAGCTCGCACTCAGAGTTTTGATACTCTACCAGTAAAACCTTCCTCTCTCTCAAAAACAAAAAGATAATTTTCTAGAATTTAGAATTCCGGGAGTTCCCGGAGCATTTCTAGATTTAGGCAAAATAGTTATAGAATTTAGAGTGACTCTAACAGAGGCTGATGGGCCAAAGTCCCACTAGGGGAAAAAAAGCAACATCGCTCTGATTTAAAAAAGGATTTTCCAACACGTTATTTTTAAAAGTTCCAGTGTTTCCTGGGCGAGCAAATAACGGAAACAAAAATTTTAGTTTTTAATTACTGGTCATTCATTAAACTCTGCCCGCTCAGTAAAAACGAAGCCAGTTGCCGAGTATCGCCCGACTGGGGTATCTCTTGCCCCGACTTTAAGGAGGAGAAGGTATAAATAAATTGTTCGATACAGCCTATTTCGCCCGCACATCGGCAAAAGAACCACAGATTTCCCGACAAAGAATGATAAAGAACAGGGGATAAACTCTGTGTTTTCCCCTTTGGGTCTGGACATATCCAAATCTGGACCCCAAAATCTGCTTGACAATATCGATTTAAAAATTAGGCTGGAAAATTTTCCCCCCAAGCGGGGGACTCTGAAAAACAGCGATGATGCCAGCACGTACCAGCTCCATATTAATTACGCTAAGCTATGGCTTAATAGGGTATACCCATATACATCAGTTTATATGGCCTTGAACAAGTCTCTAGCCTTAGACGCAAACCCGGGATAATATATACTTTTAATCGCACTCTAAGTAAAAATTATGTGCTAGGTCACAATCAAACAAGCCCCCTAATAGATCAGCCAGGGGTCATGTAATTCCCGCCAAAATTTTCATGGTAATTTTGCCCATGACAGCCTATGCAGGAAAACATAAGGAGAATGGGTCTATTTTTGAGCATGGGGATTAGCCAGTTTATCTGAAATGTATTAATAATAATACATTTTTATCGCATAAGCAGTGATTTCCCCCATCATTATAGTAAATTATATTATGAAGCAATTAACTCTCTGGGCATTGAGGAAGAAAATTTAATTCTCTATAAATTTCATTCGCCTTCCGGGCGCGAACCATCAATATTTTCAATTTAACAGACAGCCAAGTGGAAGACCTCTCCCGATTGAAAAATCTTTGGGAACTTGAGATTGAATTCAGTTCTCTAAGCCCGCCCCTCTTAATAAGGTAGTTTTATTATTTGCTCAGACCACTGGTGTTTTATCCATCGACCAGAATAGATCTGTTCATTGTGATGTGCGAGCATAATTAAAAAAAGAATTGCGCAGAAATAAATAATAGTTTAATTCCCCCCCCTAGGAAATAAAGTCACATATATTGGCTGTTTCACTATAGACGCTCTTACAGCAAATAAGATTAGATGGCTATCCCTCAGACAGGCCCATAGTGCTTGTAAAATAATATTCTTCCTTCGTACAGTTCAAAAGTAATGGGTCATTTTTTTTCTCTTCCTTGGACAAGAAAAAATAGTCTATCCTTCTTCTTTGACAGTTACGGGAAAAACCAAGAGAATTATGGCATAAATTTAAAAAAATTTTTAAACTAAATAAAATTAAATATTTATATCGTTTTCCGGCAGAACACAAAGTGATTTTTCACTCACTTGCGGTCTATATGTTATGATGTTTATTCATAAAGCAAGCCTTGTGGGTTTTAAAAGAGCTTTATATTTTTAAAAAAAAATTTCTCGGAAAAATCGCTTTTTATCAATGACAGATTAGTGATAGCATATGCTAGAGAAAATTTTTAAAATGTTACCTCCTTGTGAAATTACTTTTTGGGCTAAGTAGTAAGGTTATATTTGGGGCTTCCCTCTGTGAGGAAGGTCACCTCTGACGAGAGTACCCCCCAAATACCCCTCCTGGCTGGTAAGGTCCTCTTTTGAGCTGTATATAAGAGCCGCTGAAGCGTCTTCCCCGCAAAAGATAGAGGCTGACCTCTCCATAGCCTTTTACTCTCATCATGATGAAGGAAGGCAGACATTCTCGATTCGGGTAAGCGAGACATTTATTTTGCTAAAACCTTCTCTTTGAATATTAACGAAACAAACGAGCGCAAGAGATTATAATAATTTTTAAAGTTGAGTCTCTTTTTTCAAAGTTTTCACTGGGCCAGTCAGAATTTGTAAAGTTTTGATTTTATCGGTGGTGATTGGTCTTTCTCTTTGAATATTAACGAAACAAACGAGCGCAAGAGACTTAAAATTTAATTTTAAAGTTGAGTCTCCTTTTTTCTTCAACAGTTTTCACTGGGCCAGTCAGAATTTGTTAAGTTTTGATTTTATCGGCTGGTAATTGGAAGGGAAGGAACACGCCGGCATCAAACTCCTAAACCGTGCCCATTGTGATGATAGCAGGAAAACGCAAACATAGACTTCCTCAGGAAAGGGTATGTCTTCTATGTTTCCCTCCTTTGGTAGATTAGAGACGAGTCCCACTCCTTTATTTGAAAGTGATAAATATGTTCTCTTTATGACTTACAGCCTGTGGAAGATGGGAACAGTTCATCTGATATAGAGGAGCCTATGAAGAAAGAACCAGATCTCGACAACGATGAAACGCAGAGCCTTCCCTCATGTCAGTCTGATGACCTCGTTGTGGACCTCTCTACGCTCGCTACTGCTCAATCTGATGACTCTGTTGAGGTCACTGCCGCAGCAGGTGCTGAACAAACTGGCGACCTTGAAGCGCACCCTGACAACCAGTCGGAGAAGGAAGGGAAAACCCCCGACGTGAGAGTAAATGCTGGAGATGGAGTAAAGCCAGCAGATGGAGTAAAGACAGCAGATGGAGTAAAGACAGCAGATGGAGTAAAGGCAGATGATGATGTACCTGAAAAGGAAATCATTTTCGAGAGGGAGGTTGTCAATCTTATAGAAAGTGAACAGGAGGAGCGCAGTCATTCAGTCTAACCACTAAAACTTGCACAGTTTCGCCCCTTTGCTCGCGCTAAAAAAACTTTGCACAGCTTTTGCCCTTTTGTATGTGAATTAATAAAAAAATTGTCAAACTCTGATTTTTATTTACATATAACTATATATTACTATCTTCTCTAGTCTAAACATATATATATATATAAACAATATCGCACCATCTGAGAGTGGGTAAGAGGAAAATATATATGTCAAAGTTCCTATAAGAGCTCTATCAGCACAAAGGTCTTCCCTAGATGACCTTTCTCACTGCTTTAAGCCTCCCCCACCTGGAAAGATCTAGCAGCTGCAAGAATAAACAGTACCGTAGTACCGGGAAGAACCTTTTTTTTGCTGAGGTATGGGCGGGCGAGCAACATTCCCTCGGAGACCAGCTACCCTCCATTATCGCGTTCTTTAAACCCAGCAGTGTTGTGAAGTAGCAACAGTTGCGTCAGTGAGTTGCATACCGGGGGAACTCCCTCGGAGATGGCAAGCTTGTACCCAGTCACCTGAATCCTTTGTACTGCCTCTCCCATCTAACAGAGTGATAGAGTTTGGGGGAGTTCCCGAAGTGATCATTACCTACCTTTTATACTTTTGTAATACACAGAAATAAGTCTCTCTATCCCCTTGGGGGATGATTAAACATATTAAACTTGTACCCCTGACAGCCCTGAGGTTATGCAGACCCCCCATTATCACATTGTTTTCCACACTCATTATCCTGGAATCTGCCACCTGCCCACCTGAATCCTTTGTTCTACTTCTGTTCCTACTTAGGGAATGCATAGGAATAAGTCTCTCTATCCCCTTTGGGGGGTGATTAAACATATTAAACTCGTAAACCCCGTCAGCCCTAAGGTCATGCAGACCCCCCATTATCACATTCTTTTCCATGGTCATTATCCTGGAATTTGCAGTGTTTTAGATCGACCAATTACCCCTACGGTAAGGTCAATATTTCCAGAGTAGAAAATTTTG